GCAGTGGCTCATACCTATAATCCCAGCACTAGGATTTTTTTGGGAGGCCGGGACGGGCGGATCACTTGAGGTTGGGAGTTTGAGACCAGCCTGGCCAACATGGTGAAACCTCGTCTCTACTAAAAATACAAAAATTAGCTGGGTGCGGTGGCACGTGCCTGTGGTCACAGCTGCTTGGGAGGCTGAGGCAGGAGAATTTGAGGCAGGAGAATTGCTTGAACTTGGGAGGTGGAGGTTGCAGTGAGTCAGGATTGCACCGCTGCACTCCAGCCTGGGCAACACAGCAAGACTTCGTCTCAACAAGAAAATGTATTTAAAGAAAAACCTATGGACCACAGTACACGGTCATGGTAGAAGCAATGATTTCCTGAGTGCCAGTAGTTCAGGAAATACTGTAGTATCCATGCTAACTTCGGGAGGTGACAGTGGAAGTCCAAGTCCTGCGCTCTTTCCAGCCTTGCTGGTTGTACACAGAACGTGGAGGGCAAGAATCACCTCGGCCCCCCATTCTCTGAACCCTGATGTCCTCACTGAGGCAGGGAGTCATGATTTCCCTGTGGTGAAGCAGGCCTTGTTGTGAGGAGCACATGACAAACAGAAGAAACACCACTGATACCGCTTTGGGCCCTCCAGCAGCTTAGAATCCTAGCCTGGGGGAGGGAGCTGAGGGCTGGGGAAAGGGACCACATGTGGCAGGGGGACACTGAAGTGCCTAGTTTGTGATTTCCCTGGAATTTGATAGTTAAATTCAGACCTGGACCAGGTTGAGAGCCCAGAGGCTCCAAGTCTCCATCAGTTGCATTTGCATCATGTTTGTCTGCCTCTCACTAGTGGTTGAAGAACATGTCGGGCCCATGCACGGCTGAGCTGAGCAATGCTGTGAAGCGTTCAGCGGTGTTACTGTTAGTCTTGGCCTGTGCAGGTTTCTCTGACTGATCCTTTCGGTATCTGTGACCTCAGTTATCTTCCTACATCAGTGCCCACCTGCTCCTGGGTACACTGTTCTGGAATGATATGAATGTGTTCACACCTTGCTAGTGGGCGTGCATCTGGCCATGCAAGAGCCCAGTCCTCACGGAACCCTGGTTATGGGGCCAGATGATAGTCCTGAGGGCATTAGGCGGTACCTGTGTTCTCCTGGGCTGGCCACGTTCTCCAGATGAGACAGGGCGTTCCTTCTGCCAGAGGCCTGCCCACAGTGGCTCCACCGTCAATGTCCTGGTTTGCACGTACGGAGGCAGGGCCTGAAGTTGTTGTTGGTAAGGAGGGGCTTGAGGTGGCTTGGAGGCTGTACCTGCTACATGTTGGTTGACAGTTTTTAGTTTTTCTATAGGTTTCTTCCAGTGGGAGATGGGATTACTTCTAAAAAATGAATTCCAAAGGCACATTTTCCCCTGATCTCTTTATTTTCCAGCTACCAAGAGTGTTTTAAAAAATGTAAAAGCACACGTAGAAATTGTAATGAGCTTTCACTGTCACTGCTCTTGGTGGTGGTAATTTTACGTATAATATATGACAGGGAGACACTTTGTGAGGGCCTTTGTTCTCAATGCATTCTCTCCCTCTCAGAACTCAGATGTAAATAAAGTTTGGAGAAAGAGATAATGGTGAAAGTACCTCAACATTTTCTTATTTTTGCATTGATATTCCTACTTGTTAGCATTTTCTTTGGAAACAGCACCACAACTAGATTAGGAATCTTTCTGGAACAGAGGGAAGATAGTTCTTGTGACTTTTGTGAGCAGTCTCACTACTGCACTGTTGATGGGTGGGGTCACCTGGGAGACCCAGCTCAAAGGCAAAAGATGACCCTGCTCTAAGGGTTTTCCTAATAGACCCGAAATTGCTTTGCCCTCTTGAATTATCCAAGTGGTTTTAGTTTCTTTTGTTGTTTTTGATGTTGTTGGATTTTGTTTTATATTTGCAGAATCAGTGCTTCCTTCACAGACAGTGAGTTTCGACTGACTAGGTTTAGTCGTGCTGATGACAAACTGACCTTTGGAACCCCTGGAGACCTCCTGAGACAAACGAGTTGCCCTTTATGTGTTGGTTGTAAATGTTGCCTGTTCGTTTGGTGGTGGGTGCCATCGTGACCCAGCTGTACCAGGTCTGAGCAGGGATCTGTCTTTGCTGGTGAGAAGGGATGCTCATTGCAATTCTTGTGGGCAGGTTCCTCCCTGCTTTGCCCCAAGTGAGAAAGAGATTTATCTTCAAAAGCCCAGCAGGAGAGTCCAAGAGAGTACCAGAACTTTTCAGGTTTGTTTGAACAATTGAGATCCTAGGGAGTTCTTCACTGCCTGCCAGCTAAAACCCAGCTCTGTGGTCTGGTGTTAGAGGATCTCCACAATTGACCTCGTCCTGGCTCTCCAGCCCCGTTCTCTCTTTCCTTAATACACAAGACTTTCCTGTTTCCTGACTGAATGCTTGTTGCTGGATGTGCCTGTGCCTGTTGCTTTTGAAGTCAGATCAGTTCTCACCTCATCTGGATCATCTCTTGCCAGCTTTCAAGCTTCCTCCTTGCCTCCCTTGCAGCATGGGGCATGCATCTCATTTTGTCTTGGAGTTGTGTTATCTGAATGTCTTACTCCATCATTAAACTGTTGCATTCTTGCAGGCAGAGATCGCTTCTGACTCACTTGTGTGTTCACTCTAAGTGCCTAGCTCAGTCCTTGTTGAACAGACGAATGGACAGTTCCAGATTACAGACTTCTCTGGACCCTCGCCTCAGAAGGCATTTCAGGCCATCAAGCCAGGCTTGCTTGACAGGATGACAGAGACTCCTCCTCCTGCAGGCAGGGCTGCTGTCTGTCTTCTGCCCTGGTCCCTCCCCTGTTAGCCTGATCTTTGCTGGTGGTTGAGAAGAGGTGCCACGTGAGAAGAAGGCAGATGTTGCTGTTGAGCGTGAAGGTGCTGCGTGTCAGTTGGCACCTGTCCCTACGTGGTTGAACTTACTCAACCACAGCTGTGATGGGTAGCTACAGAGCACTGCCCAAGGAAGGGCACGGGCCTCAGAGGCACAGCTGGTTGCACTCTTTTAAAAACTGCATTTCTTTTTGAGGTTTCTTGATTCCAGCTGCTGTCAGCTTTGCAATAAAGAGCTGTGGTCAGGCCACTGTGGAAGAGGCCTCTGGAGGGCTGCCAGTGGGGGGTCCTCCCTCACCAAACGTTGAACGCTGAACAACAGCAACACAGCCGAGTAGCTGAAGCTGTAGAACTCTCTCTCCAGGAAGGTCCTATATAAAGATGAGGACTGCTTGCTGCCCTTTTGATTTGTTTTAATGAGAATATGGAAGACTGAAGTCCTTTTGTGTCTTCGCTAAGTGTTCGCCCCAACACTGAATGTTTCAAACAGGATTCCATTTTCACAGCTAGAATAAACAGGTGATACATCACTTTGCCAGAGATCTGCATGTAGTAAGGTTGCTGACTGTGTGACCACTTTGTTTCGTGGGACCTAGAGGACCAAGATGTCTCTCCCCGATTTCAATTTGTTGATGAGGAAGCTAGAAACAGCATTGTAACGTTGGTGCTGCCACTCGGAGGCCTCGGGCAGGTCGTGCCCAGTCTCCTGGCTTACTGCCTGGTTTCTAAAATAGCATTGTCTTCCCGGCATTTCATTGATCTGTGGTGGTGGCTTCACATTTATAGCCCTTTATGGAATTTTGTTGCTACTCAGAAAATTTTTTATTTTCTTGTGAAGCCAATTTTGACACTTGCGAATTAGAAAGCGGGCTTTCCTAGTGCTTATAAAAATAAACAGAGCCCGCCTGACTCCACTTGTCTGAAACATGTTATTATTAACTTTCAATTTATTATCAGTTCTGCTCTTAACGTGGTGCTCTAGAAGGAAATGATGTGTCTGGTGTTAATCTTCAGTGCCTCATCAGGGCCACGTGCCATCCTGCTGAAGGTGCAGGACTGGTAATGGCGAGGGGTCCACAGCTTTGGCTGGCCTTGACATTCTGCACCATGGGATTGAGCAAGCTTGAGCCCGTCTTACCAGATTCACTGTAAGCTCTCTGTCTTGTCTTCGTTTTCCCAAAGCTCTGTTAGCATGGACTTTTGAAAGTTGCCTGGATATTAAAGTGTACTATTCTAATAACTTGTTTTCTAGTAAACAAAACCAAAAGTTGGCTTCATGGTTGCTCACTGACCTGGCATAAACTAGAACATGAAGCTTCTCATTTAGAAAAGGTTCAGGCAGCCTCCTGCTGGGATCTGCCCAACCCTCTAGGAGGTGCCATGGATGCCCAGCTCTCCTTCCAAGGGTGCACTTCGCCTTTAGGTTCGGGGAAAAGTACTGGGCGCGTCTTTGGGACTGTTGTGTCTCATGAGTGGGCTGACCTTGGTGGAGGCCTGCGTTTCCCATGTGAGGCCTGACGTTTTACGTGTCCAGCCGGAGGGATGAGCTGGTTCACTTTCCCTGCAGCGCTTCCTTGTTGAACCTGAAAGAGAGAGGACAGGGGAGCTTTTGTAGGAGAGGGAGGACACATGCTTTATTCTTAAACTGTGAGGCGTGTGTCACCAGAGAGAACTGGAGACAGCCGCGACTGTTTCTCTAAACACCTTGCACACTCTTCCCTGACCAACTCAGGAATGAGTAAAGCCTGTCGGTAATAGTAAAGAGAAGGCAGTTACAAATAAAACAGTCTTCAGACAAGCAGAGCAGAGAAGCCCCGCTCGCAGAGCCAGCCGTCACCGCAGACACCGAGGCTTGAGTTGTGTCTGACCGATTCCGCAGGAGGGTGCGTTTCCCCTTCCACTTCCCCATTGAAGTATATTATTTCTGTACAATATTTATGGAAGCCCTGTCTCCACCATTAGAAATACAGAAGAGTTTTGCTTTTTTACTTTACTATTAGTTGATATTGTGGGCTAGGTTTTGTCTGTTTACCCTGTTCACAAATTTTTTTTTTTTTTAATTTATTTTTTTAACTATTTATGACAGAAACATTAACAATATTTCTTCAAGGGGTTTAATTTCAGCTTAATTTAAGAAAAGAAAATCAGACATGAATGATACAAAAAATAATCTTCTCTCATCTTAAAGTTCTGCCTTTCGCTTCTCCAGAAAGCCCCATTTCCTGACTGGAGTTTGGTGTTGCTTGATGGGAAAAGCTGGAGATGGAGTCAGAGACTGAGTAACCCCAGGGGATGCTTATGAAGACATGGGTGGGGACAGGGTGGGAAATAATGAGGAACTCTACAGCTGAAACAGATGACGCCTTTTCTTAGCATTTGGTAGCAGTCCAGTGAACGTGCTGTGCACTGTCCTGCATATCAGAAAGAGCGCTGGACTAGTAAGGCCTGCTTTTAGGTCCTGACTGCTGCTCCTGACCTTGAGGGAGCCCCTGTACCACGGTGTGCCTGGCTCCCAGGCATCAAACTAGAACAGCTGTCTCTCCCAGCCCAGCAGTGTGGTGTGAGGACCAGGCGCGTCAAAAACCGTGGGCAGCATTTGCAAGCCGCGTTGTTGTTGCTCGCACTGACAAATTTCTTCCCCCTTGAGGTTTTTGACCTACAGAGACCTCTAGACAAGGTATTTCCTCCCATGGAGACCGGATGAGGCAGGTGAGCGGGCGGAAGGCACGCACCTTGGCCTGAGAAGTTCTTGGTCTCCTCCTGTCTTGACCCTCTTCTGTGGATTGGAAACATTGTGAGAAACCACATCCCTTGCATGCATTGGCAGCAGATCCTGTTGAAGTCCTGGGAGAACGCAATGCTGTGAACAGACGGAGGGGAGGAATGGTGGCTGCTCCTCGCAAGAGGAAGGGGTCCTGGGCACAGTTGGACTTTGCCTCCGGGAGTGGCCCACAAGGCGGGCCCTTCCCTACGACGGGGAGGGGGAGTCAAGGAAAGGAACTCAGCATTTTCAGGGCTACGTTTTCACACAGCAAGCCCTGAAGCTGCGTGTGTTTCCTGAAACGATCTTGATTTCATCCAGAGGAGGAAAACGACGTTTTGGAGAGTCTGCGGTCTGGGGCGCTTTCATCCTCCTTCACAGTCCAGGGAGGTGTGGCCGCATTCGCCTCCTCTGCCCTGCGTGGCAACTCACTTTCTTGGGGAATGGTGGCCGCTGGCCGCTGCTGTTTTGACCAGGTAGCTGGGTAGACACTGAAGGGGCCATTCTGGCCATTTCTGGCCTCAGGCTGGGCAACGGTAGAGTAGAGGATGTAGAGGCTTCTGGTTATGCCTCTGTAGTGTCAAGGTTGTGCGTGACTGATCCTTGTGTTGGGGTTTGCTTGTGTTAATTTATAGATCACTTTTAGTTTTCCAATAGTTTAAATGTTCTAAACAAAAGAGTTTATAACTAATCATGTGTTTCTGTTGTGTGTCTGCTACAATGTAAAGCCATCTAGTTAACATGAGAGTTACTTGACCGTTCCTTTTAAAGTTGAAGCAACACCTGCTGTAGGGGAATCTCCGTTTGGCTGCTGAAAGTTGTGATGGATTGAAGGGTGGTGGTGCCCCATGCCTTTGTGGGCGCTGTCTCACACCCAAGCTCATGGGTAGTGTTGAAGCCCCCACGCTACAACGTGACCCCCACCCCAGCCTGGGGGGCCTGGTTCAAGCTGGAGAGAACTGGGAGAGCACCCATGCAGGCGGCCTCTGGTGGCTGGAGCTGGAGGGTTTAAAGCTGCTGTGGCAGCCCCCACCGTGTGGACTGGCTCATTTGCTGAGTGGGAGGATGATGGACATGGGTAAGCGGAGGGGAAGGGCCACATGTGCTGCCAGGCTTGGAGTCAGTGGGCCAGCTCAGCCATGTTCCTGCTGAGGTGTTTAGCTCAGCCCAGACTCCCAAGACACATACGCCTTTCTGCCTGAGCTCCCCCCACCGCAGTGTCCTGCCTGAGCTCCCCCCCACGGCAGTGTCCTGCCTGAGCTCCCCCCCCCGCAGTGTCCTGCCTGAGCTCTCCCCCGCAGTGTCCTGGCTGTTCTCTATGGTGTCTTAGTCAGGCTAGAAGGAGTTCCCATGACTGTTCTCACCATGATGGCATCGTCACTGCATCCCCGGGGTTGAGGGCGTGGATGGTGAGGGCATGGGGTGAATGCAAAACACTGTAAGGCAAGCAAAGGACATTGCAGTGGCTGGGATGTGGGCTGCCCACTTTGCATTCTGTGGTGAGAAGCCATGAGCAGCTGTAGTCACCCCTACCGGAAGGGAAGAAGGAGAGAAGCAGAGGTTGGGTTAGAGACTGTTCTAGAGGCTGGGGCAAGTCAGGGTCCAGCTTCCGGGTGGCCAGCTCTGAGCAAGGGAAGCAGGAGCAGGCACCAGGCCAGGCCTGACAGCCTTGTGTTTGGGTGGAAGAAGAAAAGGGAAGAGAAATCACCATCTTAGGCAATGAATAAGGCACACCCAGCCTGCTTTGGGGTTTGGAGCCTCCCGCACCCGGCCTCCACCATAGAGGAGCCAGACTGGGTTCATGCTCCACAGTCTTCCAGCTGCGTCTCCTGGAACCAACCTTTGAGTAACAACCCCGGGTGAGTGATGATACCCCCCTTATTATGGACCCACACTCAGAGATAAGCCCAACCCACAGATCACAGGAAGCCCGTGTCCTTATCTCTTCAGTTCTTAGCCCTCTTGGAGCAGCATGTCTCCTTTGATGAGGGGGTTGAAACACTGGATGCTTTCCTCGGTCCTTTCATACACTTATTTAGAAATTTGTGTGGCACTGCTGGAAGGCCTTCCTGGACAACAGACGGGCAAACTTTCAGTTAATCGTGTGAGGGCTTCAAGTGGTTTCAAGTGAGAGTGGAGTAAGAAATGAGACTTGTCAAAGTCCTTGCCTGTTGTAGGAGAGAGAGCCGCGCTGCCCCTGGTGCACACTGACTGCAGTCCTAACCAGGCAGCTCTGACAGCAGACCGCCATGTGCAGCGTTCCTGTCGTCTTTGTCTGTGGTATTGGGAAATTGATGTAATGAAATGACGAATGAGGCCTGGTGTGCGGGAGTGAGAGGGGTCATGTGTGGGAACACTGGGTTGATTTAACTCAAGGAAAAGCCCCAGAATTCCTGGCTGCAGCACGCAGGGGTGCCCCTGCCTGGAAAGGACAGAGTTGCAAGCCAGCCCCTCACCCAAAGGAAGGCTGCAGAAGAGGTTTGGCCCCCACCATTGTGGCCCTCAGGTTGTCCACCATTTATCTTTGTTACACTTTGTGATGTAGCTCTAGACCAACCCTCCCATCATCTTTGTATCCCTAAGGCCTGCTCCGTAATAGACCCTCACCTGTTTGTTAAAGCAGGGGTCCACAGTCCCCGGGCTGCAGACCAGTACTGGCCTGTGGCCTGCTAGGAACTGGGCTGAGTGGCAGACATTACTGCCTGAGCTCCACCTCTTGTCAGTCAGCGGCGACATTAGGTTCTTACAGGAGCCAAACCCTGTTGTGAACTGCACATGCGAGGGATCTGGGTTGCGTGCTCCTTAAGAGAATCTAATGCCTGATGATCTGAGGTGGAACAGTTTGGTCCCGAAACCACTCCCCTTGACCAGCCCCCCAAAATTGTCTTCCACAAAACCAGTCCCTGGTGCCAAAAAGGTTGGGGACCGCCGTGTTAAAGACATTGCCAGTTGACAGAGAAGAAACAGCATGAGGTGCAGAAGCAAGAAATTGGAGGTGCTGAGGAAAGAGTGGCTGAAGTGTGTGGTGTGGGAGGCGGCCAGCAGACCTCCGCCAGCCCCAGGCTGCACCTGGCACCTTCCAGACATTGCGCTTGTGATGATTGACACATCTCCCTCATCTCCCAAGCCGTGAGCACCTGTTTTGCTCAGCACAAACATTTTAAAGCACTTTCTTCAGGGCAACTTCTTTTCAAACTGCTTCTTACAGAAAGTCCCCTGAAGGTTCATGGTGTGTGGGTGAACCGCAAGGAGCTGAGCTGCAGTTCTAAACTGGGCTGTCTCAGAGACCTCCAAGAGAAGCTGGGAACCAAGAAGGACATCAAAGAAGTGAGGGAGTTGCCTGCCTTGTTATCTGAGGAAGGACAGTCCCAGACAGGGTGGCTGATGTAAAGGCCACACCAGATAAAGTCTAAATAGCAAAGAGGCCAGGGCAGGCGCAGGATGGAGACACTGCTAGGAGATTCACGGGCCCCATCATTGCTGTTGGACACAGACTCTGAGGACTGTGGGAGGGACGCTGGTCAAATTCCCAGGGTGTAGGAGCTGGGGTACTGAGGGAGTTGAAGTTGTACTTATGGGGAAGATAGAGCTGATAGAATTGTCAATGGATTGGACGTGGCACGTGAGAGAAGGAGGAGGCCTGGATTTGATTTCTTGCCTGGAGCAGTTGGAGGGACAGAACTCCATCTACTGAGATGGGAACCCTTGAGGGGCTGGTGAGGTGGAAGAGGAAGGCTGGAACGGTCTGGGCTTATTTTGCTCCTGGAGCATCCTCGTCTGCCCTTTTGTTTCCAGGGATATCCATGTCCCTATCCAAGGTATCTCAGTCAGTTCAGGCTGCTATAACAAAACTGAGACTGGTAAACAACAGAAATGTATTTCTTAGACCTGTGGATGTTGGGAAGGCACTGGCATTTAGGGTAAGCTGAAGGCCTTCTGCCGTTCCTCACATGACAAAGGTGAAGGGCGAAAAGGGCCTACCGAGTTCCCTCCAGCCTTTCATTCAGTACTAACCCACCCATGAGGCCAGAGCCCTCAGGGTCTAATCACCTCCCAAAGGCCCCGCTTCTTAATACTATCACATTGAGGCTACATTTCTTTTTTTTTTTTTTTTTTTTTTTTGGACGGAGTCTGGCTCTGCCGCCCAGGCTGGAGGCTGGCCAGATCCCGCTCACTGCAAGCTCCGCCCTCCCAGGTTCAGCCATTCTCCTGCCTCAGCCTCCCGATAGCTGGACTACAGCGCCGCCACGCGCCGGGCTAGTTTTTGTATTTTTTGAGAGACGGCGGTCACCCGTGTGTACCAGAGGAGCCTCGATCTCCGACCTCGGACCCACCCGTCTGCGCCGCCAAAGTCTGAGGAACAGCTGACCACCCCGGCGGCAGGCTACATTTCAACATAGAATCTGGGATACGTTCAGACGGTGTGCACGAGTGAGAGTCCCCTCCATGCAGAGTCGGATTGTGCAGTGTATTCGAGCCCCTGGGGGGGTAATTAGAAGAGTCAAGCATATTTATAAACTAATGAGGGCATGTCAGGTTTAAGTAAAGGAAGTTAAACTCGTGCCAGTCTACCGGTCCATCTTCCTGGCAGACATAAGCGGGCTTGGAAATGGAAGGCCAGAGATAAATTAACAGTCTTCCCAGGAGCCGACATAGCTCGGGCCTGAGTGCAGGGTGCATTTGTGTTGCGGTGAGAAGAGATGCCGCATTGCCAGCATGTGTACTTCTCTCCTGTGCCTTGATGTAATATTGTTTTTTTTTTTTTTTTTTTTGGATGGAGTCTCACTGTGTTTGCCCAGACTGGAGTGCAGTGCGTGATCTCTGCAACCTCCGCTCCGGGTTCAAGTGATTCATTCTGCCTGCAGCCGTTCCTAGCAGCTGGGAACTAACCAGGCATGTGTCAGCACGCCCGGCTAAGTTTTTGTATTTTTAGTAGAGACGGGATTTCACCATGTTGGCCAAGATGGTCTCGATCTCCTGACCTTGCGATCTGCCCTCCTCGGCCTCCCAAAGTGCTGGGATGACCTGGCCCCTGTGCTTGATTTTCTAAAGCACATTGCTTTCCTGTGTTTAAACCCTAGCAGCACTGCATGGACGTTTTGCAGCATGCTTGTGTGTTAAGTGTCCTTTGAGTCAGAGCTTTCCTCACAGTGACCCTCTCCTGCCCTGTGCAGGTCCAGGGAGGTGGGAGAGGGCTGGGCCCCAGCTCTGAGGGGAGGAAGAGGAAGATCTCTTCAGTGTAAGAGGACCGTGATGCGGCCCCTGGAGAACATGGATGTTGTATCCTGGAGGGACAGAGCCCCTGCCTCACTCCCCTTGAGAACGTGGATGTTGTATCCTGGAGGGACAGAGCACCTGCCTCACTTCCCTAGGAGTCCAGGGTCCGCTCACTCTCCTCTGAGTGGGGGACTGTGAATTCCTTCCAACAGTGGTCGTACCTTCATTGGACAGGTGAGGAAACTGATGCACAGCGATGGGACCCTGTGGAAGGTCACACGCTTCATGGTGCCTCACTAGGTCTGATGCCACTGCCTGGGCTCCCCTCCCCCATGCCACCAAGCCGTATTGCCTCAAGAACAGGCCTGCGCTCTCATGTTCCTTTCCAATAGCAACCTTTGGGCCTAATTTTTGGTGACTGTAAACTGCACCGCAAGCAAAGTACCGGTGAAAAGTTCTGGTTGGAGGAACTGGAGAAAGTAGGAAAGTTGGGTAAAATTCAGATAGACTTAGCTATAGCGAAAGGGCTTCCAGGCTCACAGATGGCCCCAGTACAAGCGCTGTGGGGGCCAGCCTCAGGGGAGGTTAGGAAAAGCCAAGGCGAGAACCTCGCATGGCCGACAGCGCGTGCCCCGAGCTCTGTGCAGATGTTTTCTGTGTTTCTTCACATACGTGCTTGCTCCTCTGTGTCCCGGTGAGACCAGTGTTATTTCCGTTATACAGAAACTGAGGCTGAGAGAAGCTCAGCGGCTCTTGCACCTATCGGGGAGAAGGGATCTGAAGTGGGATTAGCTGAGCAAGTGGTTGGATTCCTGAGGCCCCACTCTGGGCCTCACAGGTTGATCCAAGGGTTTAGTTTGCGGAAGGGCAGGTGTCGACACCTGTCTGAATCCATTTTCTGCTACTCTAACAACATACCACAGCCTGGGTAGTCTGTAAAGAAAAGCAACTTATTTCTTACAGTCTGGAGGCTGGGAAGTCCAGGAGCATGGTGCCAGCATCTGGTGAGGGTCTTCCCATGGTGGAAGAGCGGAAGGTAGAAGCCAGCACGAGAGATAGGGAGAGGAAACTGGGCTAAACTCCCGGTTTATGGGGAACCCACTCCGCTCACTCCTACAGAAACAGCATTAATCCCTTCATGAGGACAGAGTCCTCGAATGGCCTAATCACCTCTTAAAGGCCCCACCTCCCATTGCTGTTACCACGACAAGTTTTCAACACAGGAACTTTAGGAGAACACATTCAAACTGAATCAAGAGCCTTCTGTGGACCAGGGTGCTGGGGGCCTGGTGGGCTGGGAGCCAGAGCTCAGGAGAGGCATGAGGAAGGCCTTCCTGAGACCCCTCCCAGGTACCCTCCACTCTTGTCCTTGTTCCTGCAGCATCTGGCCTTTCCATCCTAGTTAATACCTGGGCCTTTGAGACAGCATTTGTGTGTGTGTGTGTGTGTGTGTGTGTGTGTTTTATGCTAGAGAAGCATATTTTACTTTGTTTAAAAGGTGAAGATCTTCCTAAGCAGTTGGCTTTTGTTTGAAAGAAAAAAAAAGGAAGACCTGCTTGCTTCCACTATTCCCTTGCACTGTAGGATGGGGAAGGACATGCAGCACTGGAGGAGTCTCCATAGTGGGCAGATTAGAATCCAG